GTTGTACTGTTGATATTTGGCTCTGTTGACTAATGAGTTTGCCGACCACTGGCTTAACCTATCAGTTGACTGAGGAGGCACTGACCACCACACCCAAGGTCTTGTACGTGCCTGCTAAGGAGTTGAGAGAGTTCAAAGACCAGGATGGATGGGGAGATAAAAGGAATGAGGGCAGCCTGACAATCACAAATATCCCCAGGCTTGAAGAACCATGGAGACAGCTTCAGGACAATGTTCTGTTGGCCCTGTAAACCTATGCCACAGACCTAAACACTGAGCAAGCTTGACTCACTGATAGGGAGGTGTACACCAGACTCAGCTGGAGGGAACAGCGGGCCTCACCAGTTCATTATGGTCAGAAGATGATCTTACATCAGTTCTTGGAACTGACAGGAGAGAAAAACATATTTAAAAAAAGAATTATAACTGTGCCTACCTCATGGCTGAAGTATTTCTTTATTGTTTTATGTAGGAACTAAAAGTGACCAGCTTTAAAAAAACAAAACAAAACAGTTCTGGACAGATTGTTGCGTTCATTCAGACCAAATTTTTATTTTTTAAAAATCGGATACAGCCATTTAATTATCACTTTAACAATAGCCAACGTTTGTGTGACTCATACACATAATTCTCTATGTACACACAAGCACACACTATTTATATAGAAATAAATTAAGCTTTAATAATGAAATACAAGTTTACAAATGCAGCTTTTTAAAGCCTAATGAAAAATAAAGATGGAAATTTCTGAGAGACAGGATCACGGTGGAATCTGGCTCTTCAAGATGAAAATATTTTGAAAATTAAAAATCTGAGACAATTCATTGAGTATTTTTCAAATGCCAATTTTATAATTCTGCTTATTTCTTAATCTAATTATTAACTTTTTATTGGCTAGAATATGGCTTTTAGGGTTGCCTCCAAAAAGTTAAATGCCATACAAATTGAAAGTTAAGTTACATTCCTTTTAAGTGTTAAAAGTATTAAGGCCCTTTTTAGCCATTCTTCTTGCTTTCATATACAGCTCATCATTTAGTGGCCCTCGATGAACAACTTAAAATTTTATGCTCTGATACCTCTTCAGTGAATTTTTTATTTTTTTTGTCTAAAAATTTCATCTTAAATAGTTGCAAAGGATATATAAGTGCTGACATATTGTAGATATCACATCTTTAAATAAAACTGTTACATTCCTTTTTAAATTTGGCCTAGTGGCTCTAAACCCAATATTTGTCATCCTTTCAAAAATTACATGAAGAAATCAATTTTTAATAGTAGGAAATGCCACATTTTTCCTTTTACTCCTTGAATTTGTATTTTTAATCTATTCCCTCCTCAAAATTTTAGCTTAATTATTTTTGGCCTTTTTATTATAAAATTATATAATATCCTATAATCATAAGGCTCTATGTATTGAAATTTTTCCACTGGATTGAACTTAATAAACAAATATAGTAAAAATATTAATAAATTGTTAAACCGTAAAATTCTATTGGCAATGTATCTATCACTCAATGAGATGAGGAAGGCTCTCCTGCCGCCATTCCCCCAATTATTTCATCCATCTGTAGATTAAGATGATTTTTGTTAGAATGGCCATGGTCCAGCATCAATTCTATTCTCCTTTTACATTTTCTATATGAGACTGTAGATAATCCATGTTAACACCAGTAAGTAGATGGGAACAGAAGGAGTTTTGTGATGGCAGGGTAACTGAATTCTTCCAACTCCTCCAGAATTACATTTTTTAAATATTCAGAAATCTTGGGTGTTCCTTCAGTTTTGTTGAAAACAAAGAATAGGGAACCATCAGACTTGCAAAAGGATTTGTACCCCGCTGTTAAGAAGCTTTCACTGTCTAAACACCCATATTTTTGAATTTTATACCTGAGTCATGTTTTACAGTAAGACTGAAGATGGAGAAAGATATGTTTTCTTTTATGAGGGAGAAAAGGGCATTTTTCTCAGGCAGATGATTCTTATGAAACTGTACAATAGAAAAGTGAGGATCTGAGAACTGATCCCCTAAAATGATTCAAGCCTGTGTATTCTTTGGAAAGCTCTGGTAGACTACTAGGGGTAAGGTTGGCCCAGTTTAAAGACCATTGCCTGCCCAATATAGCTCAGTGGTTGAGCATCAGCCCAGAAACCAGGAGGTCACCAGTTTGATTCCCAGTCAGGGCACATGCCTGGGTTGCAGGGTCAACCCACAGTAGGGGGTGTGCAGGGTTAGGGTTTCTATCTATCCCTTTCCCTTCCTCTCTCTCTAAAATCAATAAAAACATATATTTTTTAAAAAGACCATTGAGATATATATATATATATATATATATATATATATATATATATATATATATATATAAAACATACAAAATGTGTTAATCAATTATGTTATTGGTAAGGCTTCTGGTCATTATAGGCTATTAGTAGTTTAATTTTGGAGGAGTAAAAGGTTGACTGCACAGTGAGTGTATGTGGGGGGAGGTCGGTGCCCTAACTCCCTTGTTTAAGGTTCAACTGTAAATTATTAGATTATGATGCCTGGCTGCCTTATTAATAGAGCAGCAAGTCTTCTAATGCATTCCACTATACATTAGTCCCATGAGATATTCCTTAGCCAAAGGTTCCTGAGATCAAATTTGGGAAATGTGATATTCTACACCCCTCTTAACTATGCACATTAGAATACCCAAGTTTTACAGGGGGGAAAAAATTAACTTTGTATAACCTAAATTTTCCAAACTCAAATGATTTAACTAGCCTCCCCCTTCATTTTTTGATGTAATAACTGATGCCTCAATAATACCCTTAGAGAAATGATGAACAAAAACAATTTAACAACATACATAATCATGGTTTTGGTCCGTCAATGCTGCTGCCGTATTTTAGGATATTCTTGTCTTCGTCTGCTTGGTCTGAATTAACTGTGTTTAACATATTACTGTTAAATCATAATCTCAGCTAGATATGTTATAGGACTTGGGTTTTGTGGCATCCGGGCAAACTCTAGAAAAAGCAATGATGTAATCTGCACCCTCCCCTTTCCCTTTCGGTGTCTTTCCTGAGCGAACCACCACCAAGAATCCAGATTCATGTGTTACCCTATTAAGAGAATGTTGCAACCAAAGCAAATACTCTCTAATGGTGGATTCAAGTTATTATAGCACCTAGAAGGAGGAGACAGTTTTAGGGCGCCTTTATAGTATAACCCCCTCACCCCACCCCCCCATCCCCCAATCTCCTGCCTCTTCGTTCTTTGCACTTGTTGCTGGGTGTGGATTTTACACAGTGACAGTTGAAAGATGCTTAACTCCTGCTTTCTATGCCACCACTTCTCAATTTCTTTGATATGGTAGCAGGACATCCATTTGAAGCAGAAAAGGGATCCAGGCCTTACTTAGCTTTTTGGCTTTAAAATGGAGTGGAGTGCGAAGGTTAATGTCTTTTACTCACTCCTGAGCTGAAAACAGAGGTAAAAGACAGCAAAATCTGAGCTCTACTGTGTAAGGTAATAATGGAGCCGGAAGAGGTATGGGGGTAGCGGCGGGGGTGGCTAGTGGGGCACTGGCTGCAGAATCTGTAAATTCCTTCCCGGCAGCCTTCGGCTCAGTGCCTTTTCATCCAGCCTTTCCTGAAAGTTGCTTTGAACATCTGCTACCATCAGGAATAGTCTTCCCTCAGTTACTGGCTGCCAAATAAATAGCAATTCCCAATTCAAGGAATAACTAAAATAATGTCACAAAGTAAGAGACTGCTATTATCTATTCTCCTTGCTTCCTAGAAGGTAAAATGCATTTCTTTTAGAAGCATATGTAACCATAAGACCAGTAACCATGGCTTTTTTATTTTCTTTAAAAAAAAAACTTTTGTTAAACATTGTATCCCCAGACCTTGGCATAGTGTTTGGCGTATGGTGGTGCTCAAGGAATTTTTGTGGAATGAAGGAATAAGGTCTTTTGATCAGAGAGAGCCTGGCTGGTTTTAATGGACTTGTCAGCAATACATGCACCTAAGCCCAGGATAACTAGGGGAGGGCTCAATGCGCTTCTAAGACCCAGTTTCATCCCAGTAAAGCCACCAGTCTTACTGCTTGCTGTTTGTTCCTGCCACCACAATCGTTTTCATGGTTACACCTTTTTTCCTCTAGTCGTTTCTCAGTTCACTTTGAGTAATTTGTGACTCTACTGACCACTCCCCCAGCCACTAACCTCATCCTTAAAAATCCTTGTGAAGTCATCACACGACACATCATTAAATTGTATCGCAAGGTGCAGAGGAGTGTCATCTTGTCCCAGGTGGGTCTGAGGCTCCGGGGTGGCTGCATTTGAGCTTTTCTGTACCTTTCTAGTGCTTAAGCCACAAGACTCGGCCTGCTGCTTCAGAAAACCGAGAAACTGCCCTATGGAGCCTAACTTGCATCACCTCCTCCAATCAGTGAATTGACCTCTTGTCTGTGGGAGCTGCAGACCCAGAGGTGCCCCCCAGGTCACGCAGCCAGCTCAGGAGTGGGCAGAACAAGAGTAAGAAGCTGGCTGAGCCTTTGCTGGGTCTCTGGTTGCTAACAGGCTTTTGAAATCAGCGGCTCCAAGATTTCCACCTCCCACCCCCAATAACTCCAGTCACAAAGTAAATCTCTACCTTTAACTAGAAATTGTCTTAATGAACAAAGAGTCCAGGGACTCAGGCACCATAGCAGGTCTGTCTAGCCAGCTAGCCAGCCAGTGGTAGTTAAAGTGCATTGAGCTGAGTCCACTGACCTGGGGCAGGGAAGCTGGGCAGATGTGGCAGTCAGGGGCAGGGCTCCTCTCTGGGCCCCGGTGAAATCCGATGGCCTTAATTGTAGAATCGTTTGCCTTGTAGTTAAAATCCTTTTCCAAAGCTAATTTATTAGTTCCTTAACATTGCGGGCTCATCTCCCAGGGAAGTCAATTACCTGGGTCTTTAGAAGCCAGAAAAGGAATCCTGCTCACTGTGCAGGTCATGCATGGAAGGTCTACCTGTTTGAGATTTTCACTGCTTTTATTCAATGAGGTTTGGAACACAAGCGGCCAAAGACGAGGAATGTGATTTTGGGATCCTCTATAGAGAATTATAAGTTAAGAAATTGTCCAAGACGAAAAAATTAAGAGGAAATCACTCAGCTCATGCTGATTGGGCCTTCTTCAGGAATGTCATCTTGATTGAAGAGGATGACGTCCCAGGTTAGCATGATCCCATGGTCTGAATACAGCACATTCTTCTACATGCAAACACATGCACACACACAACACCCTTACACACGCACCCCGGCTTCTATGAGTAAAACTTGCTGTTGCTGACTCTCTTCTCTCTTAACCTGAAATAAAACAGATTTCACCATCACCCACTAGGCCAGCAGTTCTCAACCTGTGGGTCGCGACCCCTTTGGGGGGTCGAACGACCCTTTTACAGGGATCGCCTAAATACATCCTGCATATCAGATATTTACATTATGATTCATAACAGTAGCAAAATTACAGTTATGAATTAGCAACGAAAATAATTTTATGGTTGGGGGTCACCACAACATGAGGAACTGTATTAAAGGGTCGTGGCATTAGGAAGGTTGAGAACCACTGCGCTAGGCTGAGGCACAGGCCATGTGCTTTGTAACGCACAACTGCAGGTCGCTCTTGGTGGCGTGGTACAGGGCTGAGAATCGGGGAGGCAGCTTCCTGGAAAGATTTTTAATCTTTCTGAGTTTCAATTTCCTCACTGGTCATTGCATTGAGGTCACTGCTACTTGCTGGTTGAAGTAAAGATGAAATGAGAATAATATGGGTAAGGAGTCTACACTCTGATTCCCATTGGAGGCTGCTATAGGAATTTTGGGGGGCTAGTGCTTTTTAAAATTTTATTTCTTGATGAGAGAGAACCATTGGTTTATTGTTCCACTTATTTATGCATTCATTGAATCTTATTTTTAATTTAAATTCTTTATTGTTGAAAGTATTACATTTGTCTCCTTTTTCCCCCATTGACCTCTTCCCGGCTGCTCCTGCCCCCCAACACATGCCCTCGCCCCCTTACTGTCATTGATTCTGGTATGTGCCTTGACCGGGGATCAAACCCACAATGTTGGTGTATCGGGAAGACACTCTAACCAACTGAGCTACCTGGCCAGGGCAGATAATGCTTTGTTAAGCAGGACTATCTGGGACACTGCAGGACACTGGGCACACCTGGCTGTCTCACCCCCATTATATGTCTGCAGCACAACCAGAAGGGTCACTTGGAGGGGATTCTGCCCTGACTTAGAGCCCCTGGGCTAGCCCATTCTTGAGAACTTGATAGGGTCTCTTTAAAAGGTAGTGGTCATTGTTTATTTTCATTATTATCTTGAAATGTCCTCCTAGTGATGATAGTTCCACTTAGGGAAGGTGCAGATACCTAAGATACTCCTACAAGTTCAGTTATTGAGCAAAGAGAGGGGACCAGTCAAAGGATTTCTAAAGACGGTGGCGCCTTCCTGAAGCCTGGCCCCAGGTGCCCGATGTCACTGTGCTGGGAGGAGTGAGATCTGAGGGTCTGCAGGTGGGAAGAGGTGACCTACCTCCGGTTGCACTTCTCCTGGTACAGATGGAGCTGGTTCTCATTGACATTGAACTCATTAACGAGGGCATCCCGGTTGGCATTGCGCAAGTTCTGGTGTGTGTCATATAGGAAGAGCTGGTTGTTCAGCTCTTCTTGCCGCCTCCGCAGCTGGCGACAGGAAGAGTACAGTTCCTCTTCACTCTCCTGGAGAGAAGAGAACAACCATGTGGTGACAATGTCTGGGCCATCGCATCTTAAGAGTGTGAAGGAGGCACGGGGCAGAAGCTCTGCAAACTGGGATTATCCCAGAAAATCCAGAGCCCATTTTAACCAAAGATAAAACTGGCAGGTGTTGACTGCATTAGAAGCAAGCAGTTTAAAAAACCCTTGTTCACAATAAAGGAAGGCTTTATTGGGAAACACTGGAATAACAAATGCATTGCCCACTGACCCTATTTCTTAATCAAATCTGCTTTTTCACTGGTCTACGCCACCTTTGGGACCTTATCCCAGTGCAGAGGGCCTAAACCGCTCTGTGTGTAAAGTGGAACCCAGCAGATGAGGGAGAGAACAGACGAATATGAGTACAGAAAGGTAAGCAGGGTGTAACAAGGCACCTAAGATCTCATAAAGAGCCTTATTAAAAGGCAAGGTAACACACAACAACATGGATGAACCTTGAAAACATTATGCTAAGGGAAAGAAGCCAGTTCCAAAAGACCACATACCATTATTCCATTCCTATGAAATGTCCCGCACAGGCAAATTCATAGAGACAAAGTAGACTAGTCGTTGCCTGGGGTGGGGATGAAATGAGTGGAGACAGCTACTGAGCAGGACATTTCTTTTGGGGGTGATGAAAATGTTTTAAAATTGATCATGGTGCCTGGCCAGTGTGGCTCAGTGTTTGAGCACTGACCCAGGAAGAAGGAGGTCACAGTTTGATTCCCGGGCAGGGAGCATGCCTGGGTTGCAGGCTCGATCCCCAGTAGGGGGTGTGCAGGAGGCAGCCGATCAATGATTCTCTCTCCTCATTCTATCTCTCTTCTTCTCCCTTCCTCTCTGAAATAAACATATTTATTTTAAAAAGTAAGTATTTGGGGTTTTTTTTTAAACAAAGATTTGTTAGGACTAAGTTATCTGCCTTTGAATGTCTGAAAATACCTTCTTTTTGCCCTCACTCTTTTTTTTAATGTTGTTTTATTGCTTAAAGAGTATTACATATGTCTCCCTCCCCCCCCCCCTTGACATTCCCCCGGCCTCCCCTACCCCCCAGTGTCTTATGTCCATTGGTTATGCTTATATGCATGCATACAAGTCCTTCGGTTGATCTCTTACCCCCCCCTCCTGCCCCCCAACCCTCCCCAGCCTTCCCGCTGTACTTTGACAGTCTGTTCGATGCTGCTCTGCCTCTGTATCTATTTTTGTTCATCAGTTTATAATGGTCTTTATTATCCATAAATGAGTGAGATCATGTTGTATTTTTCTTTCATTGACTGGCTTATTTCACTTAGCATAATGCTCTCCAGTTCCATCCATGCTGTTGCAAATGGTAAGAATTCCTTCTTTTTTACAGCAGCATAGTATTCCATCGTGTAGATGTACCACAGTTTTCTAATCCATTCATCTGCTGATGGTATGCCCTCACTCTTGAATGGTAGTGATTAAGATACAGAATGTCTATACTTACAGCTTGTGTCTTAAAAATTTGTGAAGATATCCCTTAGTCTTTAGGCTGCTATTGCTGTGGGTGGGAGTACTCCTGTCATTGGTCAGTCCTCTGCCGGTAGTCTGTCTTTTCTCTCTTATAACTTTCTTTCTCCTGGTTCTGTCAATTAAACTCAATATGGTGTGTCTATGTGTGGCTCTTATTTAGTTATACTGCTGTGGAGTCTTCAATGTTGGGAAATTCTCGGTCATCAACATTTCAAATATTTTAGGTTGAAGTTTCTCATCCTACCGTCCTATTTTTAACTCTTGTTTTTCACATTTACATCTTATCTTGCTTTGTTCAACGCAAATTCTCCAACACAATCTTCACATTTACTAATTCTTTCCTTAACTGTGTCCTCCCTGGAATTTCCCACTTACTAATCTTGAAAGAAATTTCTTTCATAATTTTTCGTATTATATTTCCAGAATTTCTAATTGGTCCTTTCATTCCTACATGCTCTTGATTAATAGTAAGAAGGATTAGTCTTTATAAATACTACACATTGGGTTCTCTCTGAAAAAAAAACAAACCCCACACATTTATTTCAAAGTTATTTTTAGATTCACTGGAGTGAATTCTCTTGCTTTTACCTTTGTGAGCTAAACTGGCATCGTTTTCTTTGAGTGCTTTAAAATTTTAATGCACAAGCTCATCTTGGATGGGAAGGTTGATTCCTCCCTTGAATCTATATGTTGGTATCTGGTTTTCTGAATGTTGTAAATGGGGGCCGGGGGGCTCCCAAGGGCAGGATCAGCTCAGTTTTAGGGTGATGGCTTGGGGCTCTGGGTTCTCAGGAACCCTACAGATCACAGCCTGTGTCCTGGCTGCAGGACTGTGTCCACTTTTATCCCAGTCCCTCAAGCAAGAGCTGGCCATGGCCTGAGTCCTGGGCCCTTGCCAAATCTCTTTCTCTGGAGGGGGTTTCAGAAAAACGAAGCCCATCTTGCCCTGAATATTCTATTTGTGCACAGCCTTCAGTGCACATTGCATTAGCCACAAAAATAAAATAAATGAGTTAAGTATCCAAACACAGGAGTTATAAAATGAAAGCAGTTTGAGGAAAGCAGACTGAATCAGTAAAGATAAACATGGAAATGGTTGAATAAGAAAACCAAAATATAAAATAAATGCAAGAGCTGGGTTGTTTTGTAGGAAAAACACAAACAGAATCAACCAAGTAGATAATCCATTATCTAATCTAGAAATGTGTGAAAGCCCGAGTAAGACATACTGGTAAGCACAGGAATACAACTATAGATAAAAAGCAACAGAAGGAACCTGTAAAATAAATAAAAACCAAGATGATAATGGAAAGAATGAATATATGTATTCATACTTATTCATTATAAGGCTCTATCTCCAATATATATATAATATATATATGTACACACACACATATATATACATATATATATTTCCTATTATAGAAAATTATCCCATAAGAGAAAAAAATTAAAGAGACTTTTTTTTTTTTATTCCAGAAGAAAAGGACAAAGTTTTATAACCAGGCCCAGAAACTTTCACAAACAATACCTGTTACCAGTACATGTGGGCAGCAGTTAACTTCCCTGAGAAGGAAGGTCTCCAAGTAACTTTAATGAAGCCAGTATAACAAAACCTAAGCAAAAACTACAGACTGAACACTCAGTGAAAACCAGTGCAAAAATTCTAAGTAAAATATTAACGAATACATTATAGAAGTACATTAAACAATGCAATCCTATATTTCACTAAGGAATTCTCTTTACTGCCCCTGTAAGATGACTATTTCACACCTCCAGCTCTCCTCAGCCCTCCCCAAGCTCAGCTGACGGCCTTGCTTCCTGTTTTACGTAAAACGTAGAAGTAATTACATGGGAAACCTGCCCATCCTGGGCCCATCTATCATACCCCATGCCTTCTCTCCTGCTGGCCCCAGAGTCCCATGGCCTCTTTCCTACTCAGTTCTTCATTCCTGTGCATACCCTTTCTCTCTCCTGTATCAGTGTTGCCCTTTACTACTAACTCATCCCCCTCAGCAGCGTGCAAATACATCTTAAGCGGCTTTGCCTTCACTCCATATTTCCCTCCAGCTACTGACCCATCTCTCCTGTCACCTTCACAGCAAATGTCCTTGAAAAACTCCAATGCTCCCCATCAGTGTATCTGTCATCTACTCCCACTTACATTCTCATTTTAATTTCAGTTCTTATTACCATTCACATGTTTCCTATAGGAGTTTGTAGATTTTGTACTGCTTCTTAAAAAACAATTTGAGACTATTTACTTGCTTCAGGCAGTCACCCATATGCCCTCATTTTTTATATTTATCTCATTATTTGGAGTTCAGTCTTTTCAACATTTACTCGTGTGTTTTTGCTCTTACTGTATTCCTTGTTTAAGCAGGCAAAGAGTTTATTTAATTGGTCTTTTCAATGAGTCAGCATTTGTTTTTTCTTCTATTCTCTTTGTTTTATGTTTCATTTAGTTGACTTTTATCTCTATTTTAGTCCTATTAGTTTATGAGTATTTATAAAATTTTAAAGATGAATGCTCAGTGCATGTGTTTTAAGTCTAGTTTCTAATGCTAAAATGGACAAATCTGATGTTAGATTTACTTGATTTTATTTGTAGATAACTTAGTGTGTTGGGAAGTTCAGTTTCTTTTTAATTTATCCATGGCATTCAGAACTTTTACTAAACCCTGGCCAGTTTGGCTCAGTGGATAGAGTGTCCGCTTGCAGACTGAAGGGTCCTGGGTTCAATTCTGGTCAAGGGCATGTACCTAGTTTGTAGGCTCCATCTCTAGCCCTGGTCAGGGTGTGTGTGGGAGGCCACTAATCAATGTCTCTCCCACATTGATGTATATCTCTGTCTCTCCCCCTCCCTTCCACTCTCTCTAAAAATCAATGGAAAAATATCCTCGGGTGAGGATTAACAACAACAAAAAAACAACCAACAAACAAAAAACTTTTACTAAAATACAATAGGGGGTGGGTGTGTTTTCCATTCATCCCTCTGGGGCAACGGTTCTCAACCTGTGGGTCGCGACCCCTTTGGGGGTCGAATGACCCTTTCACAGGGGTCGCCTAAGACCATCGGAAAACACATATATAATTACATATTGTTTTTGTGATTAATCGCTATGCTTTAATTATGTTTAATTTGTAACAATGAAATTGGGGGTCACCACAACATGAGGAACTGTATTAAAGGGTCGAGGCATTAGGAAGATTGAGAACCACTGCTCTGGGGAATCAAGTGAACTCTCAAGCAGCAAATCAGAGAAAAGTCCCTCTGTTAACTGTTTCATTAATAGCTCCTCGCCCATCTGTCCCACTTTGTCCTATGCAACATGCTTGCATATTAGGTCATTTGCATCTGTCCTCTGAGCTTATCTTTTCCTTTATGATTTCCATCTCAATTGTGAAACATTTCTTTCATGTTATCTTTTAGGTCACTGATGAGAATGTTTCTGCTCACATACTGAATTTTTAAATTCAGGAAATTG